AGTTCTCCTCCCCCAGAGAGCATTGTGTATCTAATACACGTGTGTCCTGAGCGCTGCATGCACATTCAAACTTCTCCATAGGAAAGAAATGAACCAATGCTTTTCTATGGGTCTTTAATGAGTTTTATTCGGTTAGTGCAGCGGAAGCACTTCTGGTGACTGTAAGTAATACAACCAATAAAGGTGAATTTAACTTTACAATGTAAATACTGCAATTTCTCAAAAACTATAATGCTTTACATTGCAGAAATAAGAGGACAGGGACACCTTGTCATACCTCCCAACTCCAGCGTCCTGAGAATCGGGAGGTAAAGGTGGCAGGCAAGTAACGTGATCATGTCTCTGGCTTGAAACAAATTTCCGGGAAGGGTCTACTGGAGTTAATGGCAGGTAAGCATGGCATGCACGCCAGGCTACCTGTCAGTCATACAGGCCAACCCACTAAGGAGCAATGTTTCAGTATTTCCTGCAGGGTTCTATTGCCCTAATCATTGTGTGAGTGCTTCTATTGATCTCCTCGTGCTTTGACTATTGGAGACATTTCCCTGTTGTTCCCAAAAGTGGTGCAGCAGGATAGGACCCAAAAATCAGGACGGTAGTGGCTCCTGCTTTACAGAGCATTACTATGCATGGGCTTGGTCTTCAGTTCAGAAGTTCATGAGATTTAGCCTAATAGCTTCAGAGGCCTCAAAACATTCTAATCCATTGAATGCCTGAATTAATGGCATTTTCTTGGCTCTCTGGTAGCCTTATAAATATAAACTCTGCATGCAATCCTCAATTGCTCCACATTAATCTGCTTTCCAAACATTTCTAGAGGTTCAATCCATGGGAACAAACAGTTGAAATTAATGGAACATCTGTATATTTTACAAGCGTCTTTTACAAACATTCTTACAAAGCACCCTTGTATACAATTTCCTGTCTCTGAATTTATATAAATTAAATGGTCATTGTAAGCTGTGAAAAAACTTTGCATTGCTGCAAAGTGCATGGTTTGAGCCTATTCTTATTTCCGAGAGTGCTATTGGTGGCAATGATTTCACCAGGGCTGGCAACCAAGCATCCAGATTATATACATTCATTCACTAAGCAGCGTAAATAGCTGAGCCAACCTGCTGAAATCAGTTATACTCCGCAGTTGGCTTAAAGATCCGTCGCTATTCAGTGATTTCAAGTGGTTATAGTTTCTGTATGTGCAACACTCCACTCCCAGCAGCACCATTGGGAACTAGATTCCCAGGTTCGCTAGTATCAATTCTGCACATATTCACAGATGCTCGTTCATTGGCTCAGAGTGGATAGCTGATGCTCTCAGCCAATGAATGAGTGGCAGTTCTGCAGAAGCTGGATGTTGTAAACGTACCTTTAGAGCAATCCAGGAGCCCAGTGTGACCCAAGTAGCAAAATGGTTTGACCAATTACCAGCGACCTGCAGGACTATCAGCTTAATTAACGTTGTATGCCTCGAACAGCCAGGCATGTATGCTTTTGGGGAGATTGAAGCATCTGCTAGAACTGGGCTACATTGTCCAACAGAGTGTCCCCTTACCAAAACAGAAGCCTTCATGGCTTTCACATGAGAAGCAGCACTGGTAGGATGTGATCTCACATTACAGCCTCCCACATACCCTTTTAATCTGGGGGCTGTGTTAAGCAGCAGGCAACTATGCTTCATTATATACCTTCTCTGACTCCCATACAGCACTACCACAAACCAGAGCTCAGCGATGAGGCTGGGCTGCATGAGCAACTTCTTCACTAGCAAAGTTTTGAAAATGCATAACGATTTCTACACAAATCTGGCACTAACCGAACATGCTGACAGCAATCACACACCTATAATTTTTAGGCAGGCAGTAGATTATTCACAGTCACACATTCCTGCCTTCAGCTGAGCTCCACAGTCACTAAACATGGGAACTTACTGGAAGTGGTCAAGTGAGGTTGCAACGTAACACGTCATTGGCTGGCAGCTGGAGTTTCCAGATGCAGAAGACAGCATGTGGTGACTGGGAGAGGTGAGTGAGTTATCAGTAATATCGGCAAATACTGAATATCTGCTCTAATTATCCGAGGCATCTATAATTGGCCTATCCCTAATAATTACTGCCTTGGGGCCTGTGGCTGATTATTTAGGGGGAGGGGGCAATGGGTTTAGGATCTCAATATATGACTAAGATTGTGTATCTGATGGTAGGTGTGTGTGTCCATGAGTGTGTGTGTGTCTTGAGTCATGTGTGCTTATCTGGCAGTGTGTGTGTAAAATGTGTATCTGTGAGTCTGACTGTGTGTGTGTGTATGTGTGCGTAAATGTGTATCTATGAGTCTGACAGTGTGTTATCTGTGCTTGTCTGACAGTGTGTTTCTGTGGTTGTAATTATATACCATTCCTTAGAGTGGGAATGATTTAACTTTTACTATTAAAACAGGGCTAATAGATTTATTACAGCCTTTGGGCTCATATTGTAGTTAGTAAAATAATCAATTTCAGAATGTATATTATCCATGTGAGTCTCTTTTGTATGCATAGAAGTTGCGTAATATACAAATATCTGTCCTTGGTTTCTTATTGAGAAGCAAATTAAATATTAGCAGTAAAATTCCCCTTCCTCATAAATTAAGTACTTCTGAAACTAATTTTGAAGTTTGGAAAGGAAGCCGGCTTATTCCTTGACAATAAAAGTCTGCAATAGATCATAACATGCATTTCACTAAAATAAAAATCTCGCTACAGAAAGTCCCTGGCATCAGTCCGCATGACAACCACGATGCGCTTCATGTTAATTAACAATGAAGTAATAAAGGCAAACAAAAGAAAGATCTACAATATATATTTCAATTATTTGTTAGCCTTTCAACAGGCTCAACTTGAATGTAAATACATTTGAAATCGCATATTTTTTTATGGTTATATCACCTGTAAATCACCTGTCATGTACAAGATAAAAAGAAAAATCTACGTAACTTCAGAGCAGAGTCCTTTTAAAATGATATGAAAATAAGTGGGGGCTTATTCACTAAACAATGAAATGAATGTTAAATTGCTAAATATAGTCTAAATATCTGATGTGGGGCGAAAATAACTTTCAGCTCAACTACTCATAGTTTGGTTTATTTTTAGTCTGGATTTGGCAATCTAGCGATGCAAAGTATATAAACTAGTTAAGTCTCATAGTTCTGGAGAAAATACTAAGTAATGCATATGGAATTTCTCTGTGAGATACATAAGCAGCATGTGGGCACTTAGTGACAAGAAAAATAAAAAAGTATTAGTGCTATAAGGGAACCAGGAAAAATAAATATGTGAAAACAACAATCACAGTCGCTGGACACCAATAAATTGCCTCCTCTACCAAAAAAACACCAAAAAAAATACAAACACTAAAATGTTAGGGTGCAGCGTCACGTGAAAAGAGACCTATTTTCAACTCACGTTAGTAACCCTCCAAGTATAAAAAAAAATAAAACAAAACATACCTTAAAGCTATACCTCCAAATTAGCTGCTGTGTGGCCTTAAAGAACCTGCAAGCGCTTTTATGGGCTCTACCTTTGGATGTGTGTTATTTGGTCAAAAAACTAGAGAAAGAAAATGAGGAGTAGAGAGGGTGAGCCAGTAAGGATAAATACTCCTAGGTGGGGGGTAACCCAGGATTCCTGAATATCCCAAGGTAGAATAGTCGGATATTACCTAATGTTATAAAAAGGAAAAAGTGGAAACATTGTTCTTTTAACGAACAGGAGACCGAAAATATATATATATATAAAACGTAGCTTTTAATAAATATAATAAAAAGGTGATAGTTTCCCACCACAGGCAATAGGCACTGTAATGTCATCATACTGCATTGCTGCTCTGTCGCCCCTATGTCCCAATTATCTTTTCCTTTTTTTCCCCCTTTCTGATTCTCTAAATAGACCTTTGACAGCAGGTGGTACATAGAAAAGTAAAATGTTGTCTTAACATCGCATTACTAAATGACCGTACTCAGATCTTCTAACATTTGATTGGAATATGAGTGAGTTGGTCTCCTGGCATTTTTATGTGCTACCGACTTTTGCATTAGGAGACTCACTGATGATTTTTACCTCCAACTCATCGGTACAGCTATGGGGATCAAGTTTGCTCCAAATTATAAAAATCTATTCATGTCCTATTGTGAGGAACGTTTTGTCTTCCCGGGGGACAAATTTGGAGCAAATTTGGTCCTCTACAAAAAATATATTGATGATGTTTCTATTGTATGGAAAGGAGGAGAGGAAAGCCTATTAGACTTTTTAATGGATCTTAACAACAACACTTAGAATATTTAACTTGCTTACAAAATAACTAATACAAGTTTACATTGCCTTCACCTAGAAATTTATATTGATAATAACAAGATCAAGAAGCTGTCATTTTAAACCCTGGTTATCCAAAGTACCAAAAGGTCAATTCCTCGGTCTAAAAATAAATTTTAGTGATGCTGAAGAGTTTAAAAACCAGGCAGAAATTTTAAAAAATACAGTTTTTTAATAAAGGATATGAGATAGATGTTCTATATGAAGTATGTAAGGATATTCAAGATCATAAACAAGTGATACAATATAAAAATTCTAGAAAAAAAAGAAAAGGTTGTAGGATTCCATTAATTCTTTAGTATAATTCTAAGCATAATGATTTACGTAAAATAATCAATAAAAATTTGCACATTTTACAACAAGATGTGGATTTAAAATATTTTATATGACCAAAACCAAAACTGATATTTAAAGGGGCAATGAATTTCAAACAACTTTTAACCTTGAGTTTTTTTTAGAAAAACAAGATATCCAAAATAATTTCAATAACAATTTATTTTTTCTATTTCAAATTTGTTTATTTTGAAAAATATTTTGTTAATAAATGAAAATGGTAATGATCTACTTAAGATAATAAAACAGGTAATAATAATAACAATTTTATGCATACTAATGGGTTTTATTAAACGCAATGTCTGGACACTAGTACAGGCTACAGGGCGCCACAAACACTAGAGCATATACTATAACGATATGGTATCATATCGTTATAGTATATGCTCTAGTGTTTGTGGCGCCCTGTAGCCTGTACTAGTGTCCAGACATTGTGTTTATTTTATGTAGGGGTTTAGAGTGACCTCAATACAGTGGCTTGCCTACATTAAAGTTGAGACCTATTACCACCTTCATCACCCTTCTATCTATCTAATGGGTTTTATTACAGTGGTAATTGCATGGGGTATAAAACTATGGAAAGGAGCAAGAAAAAAATTCACAATTTTAAATCTTTTAGAACAAATTAGGAATAAAAGATTAAAACCCTAATTGCACGTGACACAAAATATGTAATATACCTTTTGTCCTCCCCATGTGGCTACCAATATGTGGAGAAAACATCTAGAATGTGAAAAGTTAGCATTAGTGAACATATTGGCAATATAAGGAGAAAATGTCTTAATCATAATGTTTCAAAACATTTTGCAGAATGTAATAATGGGGACACTAAGGGTTTAAGTTTTTGTGCAATAGAAAAAGTGTCCACACATTGGAGGGATGGTAATACTGATTTTAATTTGGATAGAAAGGAAATGGAATGGATTTTTAACCTGGGTACAATAACCCCCAATGGACTAAATATGGAATTTGAAATTATCCCTTTTATATGATATATATTTAATATATTTTTTATAAATTATCTTTTAGAGATATATATTTTTTAATATTTTAGATATGTATTCATTTGTATAATTTATAGATATATATTTTTAACTGAAATCTCCTCTAAAAAGTTTAATCCATATTTTTTTATTTTCCGTTTTTTATTCTTTACATTTCCTTTATATACTCTATTCTCCATTGAGATAGCTCAAAGGCTTTGTACATGTTAGCAGTGTGTTTGGATATGAATTATTTCTTTACAGGTAGCGTTTAATGATTTTAATTGTTTTTATAAGGACTTATTCAAAGATTATGCAACATATTAAAGAATTAAGGGCAAGACTTTATGAATTTACCTCAACTAAGTTGGAGCCCGGAACCGCCATAAACATGAGTGCGTCATTACGAGATGATGTCAAGCGCCATGGCGTAGATAGCGGGAATTATATGATGATACCCTTAGAACCCAGAAGTCCGAAAGCACGCGAAAATGAAGAGGAAAGCCACGCGATATACAGATTAAAAAGCGGAATTGGACAGATTAACTTTCTGCACTTTGTGAAAGACCGATGTAAGGTCGAAACGTGTCATGCTGTGTGCTATTGTCTTTAATATCATTATACTTTTTAACCTTTTGGATTATTCCCTAATAAATAGTTTTGAACCCGACCCAGTCTGGACCAATATTATTACGGTGGATGAAAAGGATCTGGTTGAAATTTGTACTGGGAGCAGAAATCCAGAGGTTATACCTATAAAGAGTGCTGATAGTTTGAGCCTGCTTTTTAATAGGCTCAGTAACATGTGAGTTTGACCAAGTTGGTCTTGTTTATTATACTTGGTTTTAATATACTACACTATGGTCTATGTTCTATTGCAGATAATAAGTGAATGTGCCTACTAGCTTCAAGATTTTAAGTGGTAGTATTTATTGTGTGGGGGGTCTGCTTTCACCTGTTGTGTGACTTATTTTTACTGTTTTTATGTGTTTTTAGAGTGACTAAAACACTGGTGATAGTAGTTACACAAATCACACTTAACCACTCTATTCCAATACTGTGTTTTGTTTGGTTTTATTCACAGCATAAAGATGTTAGAAGTAGGTCTACTAAATGGTGCCAAAGTATTCTTAGAAAAAATATACTAAAAATAAAGCATAACATAAAGTATATATATATATAGTAGACAACCTAACAAAAAAATGGGTTTAAAACAATGTGGAGGTAACTTAACCTCTATAGAATCTCATTGATCATTAGTGCAGCGATCAAAATCTCAAAGCTTACTAGAGCAGCGATCAGGCTGTAGCTGCTAACAGTGGGTTTCTTTATGTATTTAGTGGCGAAACTGTTGCTAAACCCCATATAACAATGTATCTCTATTTCTATTTTGTATCATCTAATTCATAGGTAGAATAGAAAACGGGGAAAAAGCAGGATGGTATTAGTGGGATAAGCCTGTGTTATATTGTCCCTGTTGTGCCTTCGAGGGCACCCCTTCATAAAAATACTGTCCCTGTAACATTAATAATTAGTGAAAAGCCTTCCAATGGGTTACCATATTAATATTTACACCGTTGATAAAGTTTCAGTGTACCTTTGTCCGTGCAGACAACGAGTGATCAAGTTTGCAGCATCCTACTTAGTAATATATCGGCGGTCTCGGTCGACATGTGGCTAGGTTGAGCTAGTGAAACCCTAATACGCATTTCATCTTTGGGCTCTGATAGCCGCTAGTTTAATGAACAAATCTTCCATTTTTTCCTTGTTATAACATTAGGTATTATCCTACTCCCACTATTCTACCTTCTGATATACAGGAATTATCCTGTCGTTTTCTTTGCATGTGTTATTTTGATTGAATATTTACTATAGCATTATTGGTTACACAAGTTATTGTTTTTTTTATTTTTGGAGAGTTACTTCCATGAATTCAAGACATATCCCTTTTCACGAGATGCTGCAAAAGTTCAAATAAAAAGCTATTACTTACATTTAATCCAGTGGCGAGAGAGTCCTGTAACCAAAAGTCTAATAGACCATCACTAGTGATGATCTCCTGGAATATCCACTGTTTATCATAGAGAAGCATTGGGAGGCCAGGCACATGGGTAGCAATTGCTAAACGAGAGCTTCTCATTGAATATACTGGGAGCACTCAAAGAAAATAAACAAGAGCACTGTCCCAGCCATCTGATTGAGAGCCTAAAGAAAGCAAACTTTATAAATGTGTCAAATTCTCTTGCTTTCAGCATTTCTGTTAATCGCCAAAGCACTAAAGTACGCTTGATTCTGAATCAAAAATGAAAGCCAACAAAGGATTATACTTATACAGTGGGACCTCGGTTTACAAACGCCTCGGTTAACATAATTTTCAGTTTACAAATGAAAATCCATTGAAAATAATGCCTCGGTTTACAAATTTGTTTTGCAAAACAAAGCAAATTTCCCCAGGATGCATTGCACCTGGGAGGTTTATAGCACTGCCCCCTGCATGCTGGAGCCTATGGGTAGCATGTGGCGTCGAGTGTGGAGGTGTTGGAGCGGCTTTTGTATCGAGTTTTGGAGCCATTTTGGAAGCTGTTTGTAGTTGTTTTGGGACTTTTTGGTGCATTTCTCAAGCTGTGGAAAGGTAGGGAGCTGAGCTTTGCCATTTGCATGCCTTTTACTGTGTGTTCTGCATTGTCGATTGGTTTCCATGCCAGCTCATTTTGACTTTTTTCTGACCTCCAGAATGGATTAATTGGTTTTTTTGCATTCCTATGGGAAACCGCGTTTCAGTTTACAAATTTTTCGCAATAAGAAACGTCCTGGAGAACGCATTAAATTCGTAAACCGAGGTCCCACTGTAATTACCTTTTGATTTTTCTTTCCCAAACAGCTAACATGAACAACAAAAGTTACATGGCTGCAGACTATCAAAATCCCTAATGGCCACTTTTAGACAAACCCAATTTTCAGAACTACTATATTACCACGAACTGATGCTCTAAACCTCTGTAAATACAGAAAAAAGAAAACGTTACTGCATTCTATGCAGTGACCTACGACAGATGGATGTTTGTGTGCAGGGCTACTATTTATATTCATTATTTTTAATAGCTGTATCATACTATATGACAGTATTTAGAATTCCCATGGTTTCAAAGGAAATCCGTGATTTAGATACAGTCATGACACTGCATAGGAACTGCAGTTATTAGAAACATAGAATGTGACGGCAGATAAGAACCATTCGGCCCATCTAGTCTGCCCAATTTTCTAAATACTTTCATTAGTCCCTGGCCTTATCTTATAGTTAGGATAGCCTTATGCCTATCCCACGCATGCTTAAACTCTTTCACTGTGTTAACCTCTACCACTTCAGCTGGAAGGCTATTCCATGCATCCACTACCCTCTCAGTAAAGTAATACTTCCTGATATTATTTTTAAATCTTTGTCCCTCTAATTTAAGACTATGTCCTCTTGTTGTGGTAGTTTTTCTTCTTTTAAATATAGTCTCCTCCTTTACTGTATTGATTCCCTTTATATATTTAAATGTTTCTATCATATCCCCCCTGTCTCGTCTTTCCTCCAAGCTATACATGTTAAGATCCTTTAACCTTTCCTGGTAAGTTTTATCCCGCAATCCATGAACCAGTTTAGTAGCCCTTCTCTGAACCCTCTCTAAGGTATCAATATCCTTCTGAAGATACGGTCTCCAGTACTGTGTACAATACTCCAAGTGAGGTCTCACCAGTGTTCTGTACAATGGCATGAGCACTTCCCTCTTTCTACTGCTAATACCTCTCCCTATACAACCAAGCATTCTGCTAGCATTTCCTGCTGCTCTATTACATTGTCTGCCTACCTTTAAGTCATCAGAAATAATCACCCCTAAATCCCTTTCCTCATATGTTGAGGTTAGGACTCTATCAAATATTCTGTACTCTGCCCTTGGGTTTTTACGTCCAAAATGCATTATCTTGAACCTATAATTATAACAAATTATGTGTGATTAATTCCAGCAAACGTTGCTGGCAATTCAATTGTCTTCTGTGTAAGTACATTTGCTTTCATGCACCAATGGATAGTTAGAAGATTACTGGTTTGAAACTACTAAGCCTTTGATCAACTGATCCTGTTTGAGTGCCAAAAAAACAGTTGATATATTGAAGTAGTTGGCTTCAGTAGAGAGGGACACCAATAATGCTTTAGCATCAGTTGGACTTTCTAAGCTAGAGAGTTATTTCAGTATGATGAGTTATTTCAAACTTAGAATTTCCCTAGAGTCTTGCCCAGAAGTGGGACAAGGGTCCTAAAAGAGGCCAGTTCTATCAGATCCAGTACCCTTGAGGAATATGTATTATAATAGAGGATATCATATGCCATGGAGGTCTATGGAGAATCCCGCAAGACCCACATGTGGAATTCTCCACATA